ACCGGACTGGCGCCGGCTGACCGGCGACCGCAGCCGGTCAAGGTCCGGCCGGCCAGACTTTTCAACCAGGTATGGTCTGGATAGGCCCAGCAGAAAAAGTCCGGCCGGCCGATCCAAGATTGGCCGCGATCGCCTCCAGTCCGGTCGGTTTGACCGGCCGACCGCCGCAATAGTGGTCTTGTTGGAAAGTATTTTTTTGCCCGAAATTATTCGGAGGTATTTTTGAAATTTTTCTGGGCTCGATTCTGCCGGTAAGTGCTTCTGAAGAGGAGACATCTTGTTTTTTAAAAAAAAAGGAATAAAGGGCAAAATAGACTTTTGGGGGGCGGTAAGTAGTAAAATGGAGGCGGTATTTAGCGATTCAGTACTTTAATCGATAAAATATAGATAAAAATAAAATGACATTAATATGATGGCTAAATGCAACTTAATGTTAATGTATTTGTTTTTTTCATAAAAAGTAGATGACTTGCCCCTGTTTGAGTGAAAGCATACATAGGTCATGAGATCATTTGCAGTTGAAGCTGATCGCAAGCTTCTTCCTTCCTCTGCATTCTCTCTGAGTCTCCCCCACACACACACACACACACACACACACACAAAAACACGATAACTACACACATAATTTGGTCACAATAATTAATTGTTAATTAAAGAAAAAAAAGAAGATAAATCAGAAAAATGACATTCCATTTAATCACCATTTTGGTTATAGCGTCCTTCAACTTCCAATCCACATCAGAAGAAGCAGAGCCCACTTCTTATGGCGCTGGCCACCGGAGAATACTCCACCAACCTCTCTTTCCGGTCACCTCACCACCACCAACACCACCACCGACGCCCTCCCAAATTCCGGAGGATGAGCAGCCGTTCCTCAACGAGCAGCCGCTCGTCAACGAGCTGCCCCAATATGTGGACCCACAGCAACCTCCGCCTTTACCGACTGCGGTGGTGTCAAATCCGGCCCACTCTCCGGCGAGGAAACTCACTGTCGCCGTGGCCTCAGCGGTTCTCACGGTGGGCATGCTGTCGGCAATGGCGTTCTATCTGCACAAACACCGCCAATTGAATTCCCAGAAACTTTCCGACCGAATTCCTCCGCCAGATCTCTCTGCAGCTTCCCTGTCATTGTCCGCCGCGAGCTCTCAACAGCGGCCACCGCCGCCGGCCAGCTTGTTGCTATCGCCGCCGCCAATGGACAATACCTTCAATTACACTGCACCAGAAAATCGTGCCCCTAAATCTATACCTCATTCAAGGAGGACTTCGCCAAGATCAAATTTCTCGCCGGAGATTTCCCTGGGCCCACTACAGCCCAGCAGAGCACTAAATTATTCACCGAAATTAACACCGCCGCCGGCCGCTAAAATTCCCATTCCAATACCCCCGCCGCTTCCGCCATCAGGGCAAAGTACAAATTGGGCCACGAATAAAACTTGCAGGAATAGCCCACGGGTGCAGTCAAAGAGTCCAAGCCCAAGAAGAAGCCCAACATACGAGAAAAATGGACTACGGCCCAGAATGAAGCCTTTACACTGGGACAAAGTAGGAGCCAACCCAGACACATCTACAGTTTGGGACCGCTTGAAGACAAGCTCATTCCAGTAAGTAAATTAAATAAAAGTTAATAGATTAATTGATCAGGAAAACTATTCACCTCATAATATTGTTTAATTTTTGGTGTTATATTTTAAGTTTAACTCGTGCATATGTCAATTTATACTCTCCGAGGACCGAGATAGACATGTTCAAGAAAATATATTTCAAAGGGCATAAATACATCTTATTATGGAATTTTCGCCTGCAGGTTGAATGAAGACGCCATGGAGTCCCTTTTCGGCCGCAACTCTGCAAATTCTGTGCCCAAAGAAGTTAATAGGAAATTGGCAATCGCCCCTCTGAAGCAGGAAAATCGAATACTGGACTCTAAAAAGTCTCAGAATATTGCCATTCTATTGCGCGCATTGAATGTGACGAGGGAGGAGGTTTGTGAAGCACTTATGGATGGTAAGTAAGTATTGATTTTTGCTCTTTCTTTAAGAAAATTATGTAATCTGACTGAATTTTGTTGTGAAGGCAATGTAGGTTTGCATGAAGTAGTAAGTAATAAAGATATTTATTTATTTTTTTTGGTTATATTATATGGTGCATGGAGGCAGGAAATCCAGAGGGCTTGGGGCCAGAGCTTTTTGAGACTCTAGTGAAGATGGCACCGAGCAAGGAGGAAGAAATTAAACTAATAAATTATGATGAACAAATATCAAAAATGGGTCCGGCAGAGAGATTTTTGAAGGCGATGCTCGATATCCCATTTGCGTTCCAAAGGGTGGAGGCAATGTTGTACAGAGCAAACTTCAATACTGAAGTCGAATATTTGAGGAAGTCTTTCCAAACCTTAGAGGTATCACCAAATTAATCAAACTCTAAAGCCTCAGCTAGCATTGCTCATATAACATGCTTTTTGATATTTAATTCTTTATTTTACAAATAGAGACCAATCTATATATATATATATATAATAAGAATTACTATTTACCAAAAATAGTAGTAAAAAAATTGGTCAAAATTTAATGCAGCCTATAAATAGTAAGTTTTATTATTTTTCTTATTTTTTTATTTAAAAATCATACAACATTAAATGCTACCTTAAATTTCGGACTTTAGTTCATTTTATTATTTAACAAATCCGGGTAAGATTTATTAAGTGTATATGTTTTTATTTTTATTTTTTTGAGAAACAACGAACAACATTAAAATCTCGGTCTCTATATTTATAAAATCTCAATTCAAAATATAACAAAAATTTTAGAATCTCGGTCTTTATATTTGTGCCTTTTAAAAAAAATATTGAACGCTATATATATACTTTAAATTGCATAATAATCAATTAATCTTAATTTTTTAAAAATTACTATGTTTATTTTTATTAATATGCATAAAGTAAAAATAATTAATTCATCTTTAGATATATAATTTATAATCTTAATATACTATCATTTGGTGTAGACATTTATTATATGAATCATAAAATATTTTTATTTCATAAAATTAAATATATTTAAAGAAAATAAGAAAAAATTTTCGGATCAATCGGGTGATTGAATTAGGGTACTGCCTAGGTTGATTGAATTAAGTGATATTTAAAATAGTCAAAAAACTTGACACAACTTTGTTGGTCCCAGGTGACTAAGTTATGTATCAGTTCGACCATACCAAATCGGTTATTGAACCTAAATATAAATTTTATATTGAAAATATTTTATTACGTGGATGTGATGTAGTCCAAACTTTAAATAATCGTATTAGCAATACTTTTATGACAACATGTTTAATGATTTATGATTATTTACATATCATTTTACTAATACTAATGTGAATTAAATAATATTTTATTATAATATTTATTAATGTACAGTAAATGTAAGGTTTTCAGAACTAGATCGTCATCGCAACGATCAAGTTATTTTATTAAATCAATTGTGGTTTGTTCAGGTTTTAATTTATAAACATTTTAATATATATATATATATATATATATATAGTAATTTTTGTAATAAATTTAAATAAAATGTGTTACTTAGATATCTAGACAATTTCTAAATTCAAATGTTTAAACTAATTGATAAATAATTTATAAATTTCTAATTTATTTAAATATGTAATTTTAAACATAACAAAATTTATTTAAAAAAACTTATTGATCCTACCAGTCCAACCGACTGGTGTTGACGGATTGTTGCACACCCAAAACGTATTTTGGTTAGAATCATTAGGAGAAAAAAGAAAATGATTCTGTTGATACATTCGAGTAATTAATCGTTTCACAATCAGTAAACTAGATTTTTTGTCAAAACCTGGATTTTCCGACAAAACCAATCTACCAAAATCACGAGAGCAAATATTTTATTCAAGCGAACTAGACTGGTTATAAACCGGTTCTCGGTCTATCCGGTCGGACTGTGTCCAACACAGTTTAATTTAAAATAATAGATAAATCTTAATTAATGTTATTTATATATTTATTTTACAATACAATCGTAATATTGTTTTTCCGTGCATTGCACGGGCCAAGTACTAATTTTATTTTACATGATTACATCCCATCATCACATATTTTCATCTTATTTCTATTCACGGCCTCAAAATCATTGTCACAAAATAATGAATGAAAAAAAAATATGCATCATGAGCAAAATAGAGGATTTTCTAATAAACTTCATTTTTCGAGCATGCAGGAAGCCAGTGAGGAATTGAAGAACAGTCGTCTATTCCTCAAACTCCTCGAGGCTGTCCTTCAGACAGGTAACCGGATGAACAACAACACCATACTCGGCAGTGCCAAAGCCTTCAAACTCGATACACTCCTAAAGCTAGTCGACATCAAATCATCCGATGGAAAAACGACCCTTCTTCACTTTGTCGTTCAAGAGATTATCAAATCCGAACAAACAAACTCCACATTCAATAAAGAAGAGGACAACAATTTCAAGGGTAAAAGGCTCGGGATAGTGTCGGGACTTAGCAGAGAGCTCATCAATGTGAAGAAAGCAGCGACAATGGACTCGGACGTCTTGAGTGGCTACGTCTCAAAACTCGAGACAGGGCTTTACAAAATCCGAGACATCGTGCAGAAGGAGAGTCAGATTTTGAAAGAGGAAGGAAGGTTTTTCGAGTCTATGAGAGAATTTTACAAAGAGGCTGTGGATGAGATGGCTAAGGTTAGGGCTGAGGAGAGGAAGGCGCTTTCATTGGTGAGGGAGGTGACGTGTTATTTCCACGGAGATGCTGAGAAAGGGTCTCTGAGGATTTTTGTGATCGTGAGGGACTTTTTGGGCATTTTGGACAATGTTTGCAAGGATATGGGGAGAATAATGGAGGACAGGTCAGCGGTTGACGGGGGAAGGTCCTTTAGGATATCGGCTACGGCATCTTGGCCGGTGATTGGTCGGTACAATGTGGAAAGGGATGGGAGCTCAGATGATGACAGTATGTGAGAAAGTCGTTCAAAATGGCTTATTTGCAGTCTAGCATGTTGCAGCCATATCCTTCATGGTCAACTTCTTGGGCTCGTTTATTACAGCGTTTGTAGAGCAATTGAAACGGAGCTAGGCCCGTGGTTCGGGCTGTGATTTTTTAGCCCCGTGGTCAACTTCTCGGGCTCGTTTATTATTGAACCTTATATTTTATAATTATTACCTTAGTTATTTGATCAGGATTGGTAAGTAAATAAATATCTGGCCTAGCTTTTACGTAGGATTATTAGAAGAGTTGAGACACGATATAATCTCTCCTATGCTCAAAGCCGATCGGCTATTATCACGTTTTTAAGAAATTTTGTTAGTTTTATCTTGTATTTTCCAATCATCTACCACACTCTACATCAGATTCTCGAAAAAATTTGCAAAATCAACTTAAAATAATACTTAATCTCGAAAAAATCGTTATAATCTATACTATTATAAAAGGACGAGTGATTTTGTAAAAATATGAACTGTCTAAAACACCCTTACTTTGACATATTATTAAATGTAAAAATAGTAATACACTAATACACATCTTACCTTATATTTTTAATGAATAGCCAATATTTAGTTAATTAAATACAAATACATGAACAAAATATTTTACATTTCCTAAAAATCAACTATTATTTTGACATATTTTTAATGGCAAATTAGTAATGCAATAATACTCATCTTATTTTATAATTTAACTAAAAATAAACTACATAAAATACACTTACTTTGAGATATTATTAAATATAGATACACGAACAAAATATTCCAGCTCTCCTAAAATTCAACCTTCATATTATCATAACATTATTCCTCACGAATTTGCTTCTTTCATATATCTGTCAAGCTGTGTTCTTTCATATCTCCCAAAAATCAACCCAAACAACAAAGCTATGAAAGGATATATAATTGATGTTTTGAAAAACGTCTTTATTTTTTAAATAATTTTAAGATAAATGCGTCGTAATCATATTTTATAATTCTAATGTGTAATTATTTTTTAAGAAATTGATCCAACAAAAATAGCAAAATAAATACTTTTAAAGAATCCAAATATTTTCAACCATTTACATACAATTTTAATAAACGTAAATCTTGATAAAAAAAGGACAACTTAAGTGAGGGGTAACTTGTATATAATAAATAATTCGAAAGATACATAATTAACATTAATTAAGAGAAGATACCTAAAATTTTAATGAAATCATGCACCGTGAAATATATACATAATCTAACAAACTAAAAAAGTGAACAATTCGTTTAACTACTTCAATATTTAAGAAAATAATCTCTTTTATTTAGAAATAATATAGATATTGAACCTTCGTTTTATTGGATTGGATTTTGATCCCACAAAAATCATCATTTGTTTGTTTGTTTCAATTTTGGTCACAAGGTCAATAAAGTTAATGAATCTTCATCTGACTATTAGGTGGTTAATATCAAGGTGAATAGTATTTTAATTATTAACACTTAAAATATTTAAACTTTTTCATTAAATAATGAACTAAAATATATCATGATATTTAATTATTATTCCTTTATTTGAGCCAATATGGGCGGTAAATAAACAATGAGAATTAAAATTATTATATTGAATATTTTATATATTGATATTATCGTACGATTTTTAAATAATTTTATAATTTTCTCAATGACATTTGAGAGTTTATTTGACCGTAAGTATCCTATCAAATAAGATAATTGTTTCAGTAATATTTATTTAATTTTGTAAGTTTATTAATACCTCTAAGTAAAAAACTTGAAATCGGTACTTCTTGTTCTCATAACGACCACAAAGTATAGAAACATTATTGTTCACATTAACCTATAAAAGAATAAATTGTGTAATAGTATGAGAGATTAATTGTTGAATGATTATTTTGCAACCTGAACTTCTATCTATTCAATTTCTTTAGTTAAAATAAGATTAGAATAATTTTGTGAAATTGTATTATACTAAAGTTCAATCTATTTGTTTACAAGTCGAATGGGATACCAATTGAGAAACATGATTTAACTGTGATCATATAATTATCTATAAATCATTAAAAGAAATGTACGAAATAATAAATTTATATATTTGAGTATAATGTTACTGAGAAAATTGTAATTTTATATAATATAATAGAGATATTACAATTAATTGATAAATATATTAAAAATCATAGAAAGAACTATAAAGTAAAAAATATTAAATATGAAGAATAGTATTAAAAATATAATTAAGTTTAACACTTACTAAATATGAAAAAAATCAGTAAATAGAAAAATTATAATTAATAAAATTAAATATTAAACTTCTAAAACTTGTACTTATCGATGTAAACAAGTCGAATTGTTGAACGAGTGTTATTTTTTGCGCTAATTAGTTCTATATGTAAGTTTTAGGCGATAGACAATAGTTATTTGTACTTTTATCAATGTAAGTTAGAACTTTTAATTTTTTTTTAAAAAGAACTTGATTATTGTAGTTTTAAATGAATTTTTATTTGTCATTAGTTTTGTAAGATAATATACAAATATCATATTACATATATAAATAATTATTTTTATTATTTAATATTTAATATGTAAGAAATGTAACTCAATTGCTAAATTAATAAGTAATTTTGAGATAAAAGAACGAGTGATTTCTACAAAATACACATGGACTAAAAAGTTCATGTATTTAATATATTTTCTATACAATATTTTTAAACACAATTAATTATAAGAAAAATAACAAAAAAAAAAATTAATGTTTAAGAAGAAATACGAAAAAAAAAAGTTATATTGCAATAAAAATTCAATGGTGTGTTATTCCACTAAAAATATCAATGGATATTTCATTGGTATGACTTTCATTGAAAATTTTCATTCGCTATTCCATCAAAGATCAAATTAAATTATATTGAAATTTTAGTGGATTTAATGATTTCAATTGCCATTATTTATTGTTGTATGAATTTCAATTGAAATTTTTTTCTAGCCATATTTCCACCATTGGAAAAACTGATTATAAAAAATTTCAATGGAAGTTCCATTAGAAAGCTAATTGCATTGACGGATCCAAAAAAATTTCATAATGGGGACACTATTTAGTTAATTGAAAAAGTATATCATAAAAATAACATAATGTCATTACAATATATAAATTATACTTTCATATTTTATCATATTTCTCATTTGTAATACATTTTTAACACATTAATACAATCACAATAAGTTAAAAAAATATTTAAGGAAAAAAGTATACTATTCTTAATTCAGCATAAGAAAATCATTAAAATAATATATTTTTTAAAATTTTTAGGAACAAAAATTTTGTGTTGCAGTATTGTTGGCTCGACCATATAATTGATGAATTTATAAATTATATATTTGATTATAATATTAATAAAAAATCATAATTATATATAGTATAATATAAAGATATATATTTAATTGATTTATAAGAAATATGACCCAATAAGTTCTACACTTGATTTTATGGATTTTTAACAAATCTAATAGCTTTACACACACACACACACACACACACACATATATATATATATATATATATATTAAAAATATAATTAAGTCGTAACACTTACTAATAAATATGAAAATGGTAATAAATAAAAAAGTTTATAATTAATAAAAGTAAATATAAACTTTTAAAACTTGTACTTATCGATGTAAATGAGTTGTCATTAAACGCTTATAAATTTTTTGTGCTTATTACTTATATATGTAAGATTTAGATGATAGACAATAGTTATTTGTATTTTAATCCATGTAGGTTAAAACTGTTAAACTTTTGTTTTTAAATAAAATTGATTATTCTAATTTTTAACGTTTTTATTTGCTATTAGTTTTGGAATATAATATCCAAATATCATATTACATATATAAAATAATAATTATTTTCATTATATAATAATTAATATATAAGAAATGCAACTCAAGTGAGAAATTAATGGGTAATCTAGAGATAAAATAATGAATGATTTCTGAAAAAAGATTATGGACTAGAAAAAACTACTACATAAAAATTTTAATGTTTAATAAGAATTACAAAAAAATTACTGCAATGAAAAATCTGTAGATAGGTATTCCGCTGATAATTCCAACGGATATTTCATTGGTATAACTTTCATTGGAAATCATTTACTATTTCAACAAATATCAAATTAAATTACATTGGAATTTTAATGGATTTTAATGATTCTAATTACCATTATTTATTATTGTGTGAATTTTCGTTATTTTTTTCGAACAGTATTTCAACTGTTGACAAAACTGTCACTAGAATTGTAAACAAATCAATCTAAGTTCCATTGAAAAACTAATTGCAGTGACATATCCAAAATAATTGCATAATAGGGGAATATACCCCACGGAGCGATCAATTATATCGAGCTTTCATCGATTTCTTTGACCTCAGCTAACGCAGCTCAGGGATAAGTGGCTGACCAGATCTGACCTGTAATCCTAGCGGCTTGAAGTAAGACATGGTGAGGTTTGAGCGCGCTCTATCGTCCCTATATTTATCCTTCCCATCCAAAAATGCCCGACTTTACTTATTTTTGAAACCTAGCTCTTTTTGCTTTCTTTCCTAAAGTCTAGGGTAGTTAATAGAAAAGGTATAACATCAAAATAACATAATGCCATTACAATTTATAAATTATAATTTTATAATTTGTCATCTTTCTTATTCGTAATATATTTTTAAGTTTTAACAAAACAATATAGTCACAATAAGTTAAAAAATATTTAAGAAAAAAAGCATAATGTTTTTCAATTCAACATAAGAAAATCATTGAAAATAATATATTATTAAAATTTTTATGAACAAAAAATTTATATTGTAGTATAGTTCGCTCAGCTCGACTATATAATTGCTGAATTTACAAATATGAACATATAGCTAGAATTCCACATACATCAGTTAAAAAAAGATATAAAAAAATATTTTTTGAAGTTAGAGAAAACTTTGTTGCAAAAAAAGAGAATAGAGTTATCATCAATATTAAAAAGTAGAATTAGAGGATAAATTATAATTTTGAGATTTTATCATATTTTATTTAATTGTGATACCGCGTTTATGTTAAACTTTAATAAAGTTATGAGCTGAATTAAATTATAAT